TATTTCGCTTGCGCTTACTGATATTCACCGGCAATTGTGCAACCCTTATGTTGGACCTTAATTATGGATTGCTGGTATCTCAAGAGCCGCTTGCTTTACATTATGCGCTCTTGGAAGGAGCATTTCTGTTTTAAGCTTAGCTATCCTTTCTTTTATTCTTGACTTTATTATTGCCAACGAAGCCTCGTGGGATTGCGCAAGCGATTCAGCGCCAAGCTCACACCCATTTTTAAAAGAAAATTAAGGACAGTATAGCAGTTTCGGTGCCGCCTTCCTTTTTTCAGGTACGACCTAGTACATTTTAATGACATAATATGTCTATGTAGTATATATTAAATGCTCAAGAAAATGCGCGCTTTCCTCTTTTTTCATCCAAATCAGACGAAGACATATAGCCTACTACAGTAGCCTGTAGTCCTAATTTCTAAAAAAAAAGTAGGTACATGTTTGGTAGCAGTTTACTAAATCGTACAGCTAGTAAAATCTATTTTTATGTTATACACGTAAAACTTTTGATAAAAATCCAAAGCTTCTCCGTGTGTAACACCGTCATCCTAAACTGTCAAGGCTAGGTCCGTCCGTCACACGAAACGCTCAGACTTTTTAGCTTTATCATTGGCTGTTGAGCGGAGCGAAGGCGGCTCCAACTGTTTAGAACTGGATTATGTAGCTTACATCAGTAAATTCATGTGGTTCACAGAGCACATATGGAGATTTGCATAAGACTATCCATTATCCGAAGGCCGCATCGTTTTTATACTACGAAGTAGTATATTTACTATTCTAACATTGCATGTTGCTTTTACTATTTGAGTGCTACTTATTCTCAAATGAAATACATTATCTGAGTAATAATAACTACAACTGTTCTGCTGTAAAAATATCAATAAATTACAAACATCGCTCTCTGTTCCGGTACTAGTATAAATTAATACCCTGAAGAAAACGATGCAATTATTTTAAGGAGAGCGTTTCTGGCGGGAATCGCTTAGCTCCAGTCATTCTAAAGAGCAGCACCGTGTTAATATCCAACAGTGAATAATTTACATCGGCCTATACCCATGGGAGCCTGGATCAAGATAAAACAGAAGCGCGGTCTCATCCAGAAGGCGAGCGACTGCCCCGGCATGACGTAAGAAGTGCTGGCGGCATGGGCAAAAGCGACGTTCAAGCTGAAGCTAGCGCCGGCGCAAACTACTGTTTCTGATATCCTTAACGGCGCCTCCAAGATAATGAACTGCAGCTACGGTGATGGCGTGAGGCGGAAACCTCTACGTGTGGCCTCGCCTGTTCTGGAGAAGCTCTTAATAGAGTGAATTCTAAAACTAGAAGGTAGTGGTATATGTCTCTCACGAGATTTAATTAGGCTTAAACCTCACGAGATTCAGAAGAACCTACCTGACGCATGGGATATGAATTTTTCGGACGGATGGCTAACCACGTTCAAACGGAGCCATATCTTGCGATGCCGGAAGCTTCCTGGTGAAGCTGGTTCTGCTGATCATGTTGAAGCTGACCTTGGCCGACAGCGACTACAAGATGTAACCAATCTTTATGAGCCTAAAGATATCTGCAACTTGGATGAAACGGGACTTTGCTACGCTATGGCTCCGCCCCGCTCCATTTGCACGAGGGGAGCCCGTGGTGCCAAGAAAAATAAGACTCGGATCACACTCGCTCTCATGGTGAATGCGGATGGGACTGACGCGTTACCGGTACTATTTCTGGGGAATGCAAAGAATCCACGCTGCTATAAGAAACGTACGGCTGATGAACTGGAATTTAGTTATCGCTCTAATAAAAAAGCATGGATGACGGGCGTTATTTTTAAGGAATGGCTGATTAATCTGGATAAGGATATGCGTGCATGTGACGCCATATTCTCTTGCTGCTTGACAACGCTTCTTCATACAACCTGGGGGAGCTTATATGTACCAACATCCGTGTGGAGTTTCTCCCCCCCCAACACTACTGCGTTCCTACAACCTATGGATGCTGGCATCATTGCATCATTTAAAGTGGAGTACCGAAAGAAGCAGTTGATGTGGTTTTTCGACAGATCAAGGTCGGTGTTGAGGTTGAAAGGAAAGCATGCTGTGGATCAGTTGCAGGCACTACAATGGAGTAAGGGGATCTGGCAAGATTTACAAGGTAAGCGTACAATCGAGAACTGTTTTCGCCAAACAGGCATTAGTTTTAATGCCGTAAATGAGAGAAGTAAATCAACCGAGCAATCCAGCTACGGACCCGATGTAGACTTAGAAGCTGTCATTATCCTAGCCTCACAGCTGAGCCTGAAACTTTTACTTTAAAATAATATATCAAATCCAAGGAGATGGTCGGACCACGATACCGGAAGTGAAAGCGATATTTGTATCTGAGTGTGAGGTAACTAACTGAGCCTGCCAACTCGTAGTCCATGTACAACAGAAGCTGGCCGTAAGAACTGGCCGGAAGAACAACGCTGTGCTAATAAATGCTGTCACTTGATCCATAAAGATAAATAGTTTTAGATTTAACAAAAATAACTCATTAAATGAGCTCACAAATTTTGTGCTACTGCTGTAAACCATTGTTTTCTAAGAGTTGTTTAGACAGCAAAATCCGATACTACTTTACGGGCGAACATGTCGCGACAAGCGCGTAGGATACGATTTAATTGGAGCGGTAAGACAACAACACAACACGAGAGGTGATATTATAGCTGGTTAAGTTGTCTGTAGACCCCATAAAGAAACGTTGATAAACTTTTAGCCTAACTGGAATCTATCAAATAAAAAACACTTCCGTCAACAACAACAACAACAGCAACAACAGCAACAACAACAATAACAACAGCAAGGCGTCTTGCGACACATTATCCAAATGCTTTAATCATAACTGGTAGAATCAAGTGTCTAATGACTCATTCTGAATCAGCCCAAAATGAACGCTTCCATTGAGTTTTGTGTGAGAAGTGAACAATCTTTAGTTACTTACAACCTCAAATAGACAGTACAAGCGGGTAAGTAATGCAAGCTGGACAGACCTTTACTATCATGTGAGCAAGGTTTCATAGCGACTCAGAAATGGTCCGTGATATCGAGCACGACGCCAAGCTAAATATATTCTGGATCGTTTGTAGACATGCTATTTGAAATGCAGGTGATTCTGACAGTACCTAAGTAGTAGCCAACGATAATAAAGAGACTGTGTCAAGATCACCAGAATAATCTTTTTTTAAGCATAGTAAGTATGATGATAGGGGTTCAGCTTTTTGTAGAAATAATTGCACGGCTTACAGCATTTTGTAGCGACTGGTCTAAATTAAACCCATAATTATGAAATTAATGAAGTCGATTTAGGCACTTAGGGGTTCAGAGTTTTTGAAAGAATTATCCCGCCGCAGCGAAGCGGAGGCGGGAAGGCCAAAGCAAGTAGAACTAAACCTAAACTACCGCCGCGTAGCGGCGGCGCTCGGCTAGTAAGTTAGCAATACTAATGCGAAATCATCATTTATAACATGTAGTACCGGTATTTTAGCGCAAATGTAGCGATAAGTACTCTATCAAGCGAACAAACTGAAATGGGACTACGATACAGTACCGGTATTAGTGCGATACATGATATCATGGATTATGCAGGACTTTTGATTACGCTGTACTGTTTTGCTAGAGCGCAACTTGCATGTGTCCAACGCGTTGTTCTGTTCGTGAGATTAGGCCGAACTGAGTCGACCGGTGAAGAGAGGTGATAACGTCTCGCCTCAGACTGAAATTGACATGCTCCGCTCAGGCTAAAAGGCTCATTAATACGATGAGCTTGTTTGTGGAAGAGCCCGACAGTGAAGCAACACTAGATGAGGCTCTTGCGATCATCGATTCCTTCGACTTTGGTGTTAGTTCAGCTGATTGCAGCCATCACTCCCCCTGTCTCGATATACGTGAAAAGGATAGTGCGCGGAGCCACACACCGACGAAGAAGAAAAAGAAGAGGAAGAGATCAAATCTAAGCTCATCAACGCGGCTACAACAACGGAAGAAAGCTGAGCTCCTGTATTTGCGACGTCGCATTCAAGAAATGGAGACATTTATCGAGCAGGTAAAAGCCCAGCATCTTCAGAGTATTTTTAACACAGAATCGGGATGCTCGGGGGATAGAGGGACATCTTGGATGGCAATTGCCACTTCCAATTATCAATGCCGACTCCAATCCGAAGAAACCAACCGCGCGTTAAAAGCGATCATGGCTACACAGGTACAGGCGAGTGACTCACTGCGTGAGATCATACAAATGCAAGCAGCCTTTCAGGTGCGTTCAGGTTCACATGTAGCTATGTGCCCTTGGCTGTTCAAATAAGCCTTTGACTGTTAAAATAACGGTGAAACCTTTCAGGAAAACGATATGCATCTGTGCACCGAAGCTTCGAAGTGATGGCCATAATGGAAAAGTTGGTTTCCCCCCAATTCGTACTTATGTTATCGGTGCAGTGCCGGTTGCTACCGATATCGAGGGTTTTGCGACCTGCAGCTCCAGGTCGGTTTTTCATGAAGTACTGTAATACACGTAATGTATACGGCCTGCATCCTTAAGCAATAATTCTGGCATTTGTAATACGAGTGCCAGTACCAGAAAAGCTGAACGAATTTCGTACAGCGCCTTAAAATTATTTGATTAGCCCTTAAAAAAAAGGGTTGAACGAAGTTTTTTCGAGAGTAATTAATTATCTGATAAATAACCAGCCCGAATTTAGCACTTGCAGTTTAGTTGTAACCCATTTTTTAAATGGACTCTAAATCTCGGTAGGATGTAGTACAAGGTGTTAAAGAGAACTGGCCGGCGTAGTCTGTAAGCGAAGCCCAGTCTTACCACCATTCGCGTGGCTAGCCTCAGTGATGTCAGCCTAAAAATTCTCATCGAGGGCCACCTCAGAGCTTCCTGAAGTGGATGGCTTCCACGCCGTGTCGACGCTGTAGTTTCCCAGAAGTTGAGTGCAGTTTTGCATCTTCGTCGAGACGAGCTCAGCTTCAAAAGCCGTTTCGTCCATCTTAGGTACGTTCACCTCGAACTCCTGGTCTTTCAGGTCGTGGAAGCGGTTGTATGCAGCAATTCGCTCTTGCTGGGTCATCTGCGCCGCGCGCTTGTATGTGCCAAAGATCAGCTGACGAACCTGCTTGGGGTTATTCAGGCACAGGTCACGTAAGGAGAAGACCGGGCGGAACTCTTCCGGAATCTGGCACGTCTCCAAGGGCTCAATCGCATCGACTGTAAGTGCAATACTGTCAGTGGAGTTGCCACCAGCTGCGAGCGTGCTAGCTGTGTCGACAATGGACGTGACTAGTGGGGTGACGATGTAGATCGGGTTATCGATGGCGTGGATGAACATCAGCACGGACAACAAGACGTTGGAAATGACGTTGCTCATCGTACCGAAGACAGCCTCCACACCAGCCATCAGACCACCGATCACAGCGAATCCACCACTGATCATCAGCACAGTCTCGGCTGTGAACTCGGACGGGTGGTGCGTAATGTGGAGCAGTAAACCACCAGCCATGTTCTCGGCCGTCTCCTTCGGGTCCTCTTTCATAAGCCCACACAGCGACTTGATGTTTTTGCCGAACTCCTTGAAGAAGCTGGTGATCTGCTTGACTCCGACGAGAGGGTTCCGGATAGTGTTGATGATCCACTCGATCGCATCCGCGAGAGTCTGCGCCATGGCGATAAGAGTATCGGCCGTGTAGTCAACGAACCCCTTAACGGCGTTCTTGACCCGCTCCTTCAACGGCAGGTTCTTCTTCATCGCCTTCTTCTGTCGTCTCTCAATCTTGAAGTAGTCCCATAGAGTGTTGTTGGGGTGACTCAACAGATAAGCAGACATGGCTGCGTCAGCGGCGTTAGCCTTCAGCTCGTCGTCCGATAGATTGTCTTGTTCCTCGGAGAATTCGACGACAACGGGGCAGATGTTATAGACATCATCCACACTGCCACTAGATGAGGCAATGAGCAACGAGCTCGAGGAGTTTGAAGGGCCCTGCGCCGCGCAGACGCAAGAGAAGAGGATGAAGAGGAGGGTCGAGTACCACATGAGGTCGAAGAGGTAGAAAAAGTTGTGAGACGAATGAGGCCGCCAGTCCTTGAGCGCGAGAGTCTCGTCGAGACATCCTTTAATTGACGAAGCCCACTGAGCAGGGACAGCAAGTACAGTAACCCTAGTGAAAATAGGTTTGCCTGTCAGATTTGCAACAGTAGACTTTCGATCTTCTGGGCGCAAATCGCGTAAAGATGTCTGATAATGCCACGGAACACTGTACCATTCACTAAAACTTCCTTCTACAGTCTGCTAGTGTACAAGTATTGACTTACTGCTACATGTATTAAATACGTGTATCTATACATGTACAAATACACGCAGTAGAAAGCTTGGAACATTTTGGTAAAATAGCACCCCGTTTAATTTCAGAGAAGTAAAATACATGAAAATCTTGTAGATTAATCACAATTATTAATATTAATACCTGTAAGGCCGGCATTACATGATACTCAATGATTGTAGTACTGTTAGGATTGAGCTGTATTATTACTCAAAAATATTTTACTGGAGCAAAGCGCCAAGCCCTCGTGACATCGTCCACTGGTTGACCACCTTGTTTCGGTCATGAAAGTGCATGTGCACGTGCTAATTAGCTTTGCTATAACATCCTGGCAACGAAAATGTATGTCTTTCACTGTAGAGATAAAGATTAGACTACAAAGAGTAACAAGACATAAATATTCTAACATGTAAACTGAATGCCTACAATCTTTCAGACTAAGTGGATCACCATTGCAATAATGAGCACTGCATTATGATGCTTCCTTGTGTACAGATGTACCACAGCGACTATGTACTGTATGTACTTAAGACGTAAGAACCTTAATAGGCACACAGAGAAAGATTGATTCAGCATTCGTTGGTACATGGACTCAACATCGATTGCAGAGGTATCATTATCTTCTACAGATACAGTATTAATACGTTCCTGTATAAGGCTTCAGGCCTCGAGCCGGTTCGTGTAGCGCTCGAATACCTCCAGGCGGAACTGTACAAATGCACGCGCTCGGCCATAAAAAAATTCCGTCTGAACGCCTGCATGATCTCATTCCTGGTCGGCACGTGGATACACTCACCAAACCGGGGGCGGGGTCCTTGATCCAATGAGGACTCGCGGAATTTTTGCATTTTCTTAAAATGCAGCAAGAAAACTAATTTATGAAGAACTGAGTAATCAAAAATGTCGCAAGATTATTTCTTTCACCTTCAACCGGAATTTTGTACATGCACATTATGTACAGTACTTGCAGTCGAGCAGTTTCCAGCCATTCATGCTCGTTGCTTTGCTTCCTGTTGCCTTTTTGTCCGTGTTCGTTGACCATCTTCGAGGCTAGTCATTGCCCCCTCTCAGTAGTAAATCAAGCTCGCCCCACAACGTTTTAAATCGAACGAGCTACCACTTTCACCATTTTCAAAACTACCTCCAAGGCCCGACACTCCAAAAACCATGGTTCAAACAGGCCATGCCGTTGCCGTCGCCTTCGCTCTGAACATCGCTGCCGGAGCCGCCACGATTCTGGGCGGTATGGTCATCTTCAGCAAGCGTCTCGTGTACCTGGCCAACTCATTGAGCTTAGCCGTCGCTCTCAGCATTTCCTCGGGTGTGATGATGTTCATCTCGTTGGTCGAAATCTTCGGCGAGTCGGTGAACTTGCTGACGGAAGGGCTTCATACCGAAGACATGACGGAGGAGACGGCTACGGGTCACGCCTGGCTCGTCGCAACGGGATGTTTTGCAGTCGGCATCGCCCTCATCTACGCAATTGACGTCGCGGTGCACAAGTTGTCGCCCGAACACGAGATTACGGAGATCGAGAACCTGGGAGAAGTCCGCGAATCGATGGATCAGTTTGAAAGCGAAAAGAAGATGAGCTCCAAAACCTCAACACCGTGTCTTGAAGCCCAAGTTCAGACTCCTGAACCTACGGGCTACTACATCAAGATGGATGAGAACGGGAAGAAGGCTCTACAGCGCATGGGTGTGCTCAGTGCTCTTGCTATTGGCATCCACAACCTGCCCGAGGGAATCGCCACCTCCGTCGGTGCTATTCAGAACTCCTCCGTTGGTTTCTCACTTGCTGTCGGTATTGGTCTTCACAACATTCCCGAAGGAATCGCTGTCGCGGCTCCTATCTACTTTGCTACTGGCGTGGAATCCTGTGGTGCGCGATTTCTGCTGTCGCCGAGCCCATTGGCGGACTCATCGCGTGGTTGGCAATTGGTGACGGGATGGATCCAGTTTCAGAGGGAATTCTGTTTGGAATCGTTTGTGGCATCATGGTGTGCATCTGCATCAAGGAGCTGATCCCCACATCGTACAAGTTCGCCAAGGACAAGACACATGTTGTCGCAGTGGGCATGTTCGCAGGCATGTTTATCATGGTGGCCAGTCTTACGCTCTTCGGCTATGCTGGCGTGTAAGAAGTGTCATGGACATGACCCGATTTCTTATAAGGGTCAGTTTGCGTCGAATTACACTTGCATATATGGCTCAGACTTCGCTAAAAGCATTGCAAAAACACGTTTTCACTTCAACTTTACATGATTGTAGTAAATTTACATGATTGTAGTAAATAAAGCGTGCATAGATTAGATTTTATATTGGATTTTGGAAAAAGCGCCGTATGAATTTCAAAACCAGGCCCAATAATGTATTTGAAGAAGTTTTGTCGAGTACACTTAGGTCGCTAAACCAGTTACAAAATAGCGCTGTAGTCCATCAGTTCATCTCAAATTTTATGATGGAAACACAAAAATAGGAAAACAAAGAAACTTCGGGGTGACTTCTCGATTGACAAGGTTATAGACTGTCACTGTGCTGTGACTACTTACGCGGTTACTAACAGCGACCTACATCTGCGTGGCATCTGAGTCTTCGTCGAAATCGTGGTTGTGACGGGGTCACACAGCACCTTGCGCTAGAGGAAGTTATCTTCCGAGAGTATACAAACTCTCAGTGAACGGCAGTTCACAGGTTCCCTCTTTAGTTAAAGAGAGCGAAGTGACCTAAATAAGGTAGATTATAAACTGAGTATATTTATAGGTAGCTTAAGTTTGGGTTTAATACAAACTATAAGTTACCTATAGAAATGCAATGTCGTTTGACCAATGGCTGGCTTTGAACGACCTTGGTACCTTGTACCAAATATCCCGGAGTATGACGTGTCATACACCTGAAGTGTGAAGTGTCACACTTCATGTAACCAGGGTACACTTAGGGCTACGTACCCCGCTACATCCTCCCCCACTTAGGTTCGGTTTACCGACCAATCAGAATGAAGAGGTGTTGTCACAAACTCTCATTCTCAAAGTCGAAAACCATCGACTTGGCCGCGCAAGCGCGGCGTAGGCTCACTTCACAGTTAGAGCCTCGAGCAACAACCTGTGCGCTCTTCGTCTAGGTCTCCAATTCGACCGTTACCATGCCTCGTGGCACTGCAAAGAGCGGTGCTAAGACACGCTCCAAGGCTGCTGCCGGCAAGGCGCAAGCCAAGAGCACTAAGCCTCACGGCAAAGGCTCTGCACTCAAGGAGGCTGCTCAGGTGGCCTCCGAGGCGATCGGATCCTCGGGTGACGCGGCTGTGAACAAGCGCGCAAGCAAGCGCCGCAGCCCGTCGCCCTTATCTTCAGACAATCGTCCGAGCCCTCGGTTTGTGGAACGTGAGTTCAACTCGGGCAGTGAGGACGATGCCGAGTCCGAGAGCACTCACGATGCTCCTGCGGACTCTGTGGGAGGGCACAGCCCAGTGCCCAGTGAGCACAAAGATGACAGCGTGCAGTCGCTCGCTAGTGATCAAAGTGATCACAGTCCCAGGACCTCTGTGCGCTCTGAGAGTCCGGCCGTCAAGGCTAAGGGCGCTCCCAAAGCTGGTGGCGATGAGGAAGAGAATCCTCGCAAACGTCTCTCGCTTGCCGAGGGTCTTGCGCGTGCTAAGACCTCTAAAGCCGAAGGCGCCAAGCCCTCAAAGAAGCGTACAGCCTCTAAGTCTCCACTCCGCGAGGAGAAGGATACTCGTCGCTCCTATCGAAGTATCTTCGACTCCTCGGATGAAGAGGAGGAGAAGGAGGAAGAAGAGGAAGAGGAGGGTGCTATCGTTGAGCCCCGGGAGGTCTCGAATGACCTCGACCAGCAGCAGGAGGAGTTCCAAGCTGCCCAGCGTGTGCGTGGGGGCTCGGTGGTGGCACCCGTCAGCGAGGGAGCTGCCATCAACACAAGAGGGTATTGGCCTCCCGAAGAGAGCTGTGGGGCTGACCTCTTCCTAGAGCTTCTCGTCGCTCTTCGTGGCCCTGTGGGCGGCCCCACTTCTAGGGGCATCTATGAACGAGCCCTTGTTCAGTAAGAACAGTTGTTCGTCGACAACTTGGAGGCTGCTCGGTGTGTGCTTCTCGCGCCACACCGCATTCCCCTTAAGGACTTTACGCCTTGTCGTAAGAAGCCCGAGACCCGGGGTGGTCTCTATCTTCTATGGGGATACCCCTGGGTTATGCCCGAGAACTGTCCCACGTGGCGTTCTTGTGGGGACATGTTCTGGGCGTGGGTGGAGACTCTTAAGTACTCACCCACGGAGTTACGGGAACGCCATGAAGATCAGCTGCTGTCCCGCATCCTGGACCAGCGTGATCTTCGTGTGAGGTTTGCCCACTTGATCAGCAAGCGTATGCTGCCAAGGGACATCCTGAAGCGCGTGGCTTCTAGCGCTCACGATGAGCGCGGGTACGGAATGTATTTATCGTCCGTACCCCGTTCGGGCAAGAAGCCCCGGACTACTTATGAAGCTGCTGCCGCTTCTGTTCCCAGATTGCGACAGCCTTCGGGCAGTCAATCAGGAGCCGTTCAATCGGCTCCCACGAGTTCTCGGAGTGGGCATAACCCCTCCACTTCACGAGGAGCTGTCGCTTACCGCGACACCGTTGCTCCTGGAGGATCCGCTCCACGTGGAAGTGGACTTCTCCATTCCGATCAAGCAGGGGAGGAGGTGCCCTCGTACGAGTACGAGTACTCGGCGCCTCCGGAGAGCCACTCTCGTCCGAGTGCTCCGACTGCGGGTCCGACACGGGACCCTGAGGTTGACCGTCCCGTCAACGTGTCCTCGTGCTTGAGATTGCACTTGGCCTTGGGACTGGCGGTAATGCTGCCGCCCAGGCCGGGAATCAGGGCGAGCTCGCTCGTCTTGCGGGCCGCCTGGACCTGGTGGAGCGAGAGGTCGCGAGCCTGCACCTGCGGGTGGGTCGCCGGGCCTCTTCGTCCGATCTGGACGAGGCCTTTCGAATGATCCGACGGATCAAGGCTTTGTTGCCACGTCCGGAGCCGCTTGTGGCACACTCCCAGACGTACGCGTATGGTGCGTACCCGGCGTACTCAGCGTACTCGGCGTATGGTGCCGGGGTCCGTTCGTATGGAGCCCCTCCGGCGTACGTTCTTGACCGCAGCCTTGCCGTCCCGACCGAGGCTTGGGTGCCTGCTCCGACGCCCTCGTCGACGACTGTGACCGGCCCTCGCTTCGAGGAGCTGGGGCAAGGGGGGACTGCGAGTCAGCAATACCCTGCGGGTCGAAGTACCGCTTAAGACGTCCGACATAGAACGTCGGGTGCGTCATCATTGACTTTGGAAGGTCGATGGTGTACGACGCACCATGTCTGGCCAGGACTGCAAAAGGTCCGATGAAGCGGTGCTTCAGTTTGTTGCTGCCGACAGAGCTAACAGTGTCTAGAGGTAGGTTCCTCGTGTCTAGCGACACTAAGTCACCAACCTCAAATATACTTAAGTTTCCTCTTCCTTGTTTGTCTGAGTACTCCTTTTGTTTATCTTGGGCCGCTGCCATGGCATCGCGGACCCTGCTGACAATGTTCAGCTTGGTATCCAGAAAGGATTCCACCTGCTTCCGCAGCGAAACTGGCCTCACATCCGAGACCTGGGAGGAAAGGGCTTTCCGAGCCTCTCCCCCACTTAGAATAGAGGAGTCAGTGGCTTCTCGAAGAGTGAGAGGCACTCTGGGGTGGCGGAAGCCGTTCACGTAGAACGGCGTGAGCCCCGTGGACGCGTGCACCGCGTTGTTGAGCGCAAACTCAACAACTGGAAGCTGCGCCGACCACGTACGTGGTGCTGCCGCGCACACACTGCGCAGAGTGTCCTCGAGCACTCGATTGACGCGCTGTGTTTGGCCGTCTGTCTGCGGATGGTCCGCAGTGGACATCTGCAGACGAGTTCCCAGTAAAGGGAACAGCGTTTTCCAAAACGCAGCAGTGAACCGCGGATCTCGGTCTGAGACAATCGTCTCCGGGAGACCGTGATAGCGGAACACGCCATCGACGAGCGACCTTGCGGTTTGTTCGCCCGTAACAGTGACGGGAACTGGAGCAAGATGTACCATCTTGCTCAGCCGCCACACGAGCACCAAAATTCCGGTGTTGCCGTGTCCGTCGGCGGGAAGCCCAAAGATGAAGTCAAGACGCATCGACTTCCAACAGTCAGCCGGTACGGGCAGACTCTGTAGTGGAGCCGAAGAGTGCCCTGCGGGTTTGACCCGCTGACATGTTTCACATGTCTTAACGTACCGGGTGACCCACTTGTACATGTGGGTCCACCAGAAGGGCTGAGAGACCGACAGAAAGGACTTCTCGCGGCCCAAGTGGCCGCTGGAGGCCACTTGGCGCGTCATGCGCATCCGCGAGGATGGCGAACTTCAGATCCTCGTCGTTGGGTACGACCACCCGTGGAGGATCAGTGGGCTCCACCCAGTAATAGAGGAGGCCCTCCTTCAACTCATATCGGTGGAGCCGTGAGCGCTGTCGCGACGAGAGCCAGTCGGACTTCGCGCTCGTTCCGGTCACAAGGAACTTGACGATAGGCGCGACAGGCTCATCGTCCCGATACGCCATGCGTATCCGATCATATAGATCCGTTGTCACCCGCGTGATGTGGGCCAACTCATAGTCGGGACGCCGAGAGAGGGCGCCCGCAAGCACGTTGAGCTTGCCCGGCTTGTATTCGACGCGGAAGTTGTATTCCGCGAAGAAGGACAGCCACCTCGCCATCCTTTGGGAGAGGTGAGGCGAGTTAGTCGCCGTCCTCAAGGACGCGTGGTCTGTGTAGATCACAAAGGGCCTAGAGCCCAGAAGGTGAACACGGAGCTTCACAAGGGCATATTTCATTGCCAGGAGCTCCTTGTCGTGGACAGGGTAGTTCCGCTCGGCGGCTTTGAGCTGCCTGGACTGGAACGAGATGACTCGATCGTGTCCAGCCGTGTCGGCCTGCAGCAATGCACATCTGATGGCGTAATCGAAGGCATCGCAGACGACGCTAAACGGCTTCGTCTCGTCCGGCAGGGTCAGGACAGGGGCCTCTTGGAGACTGGCCTTGATGCTGTCAAAAGCATCCTGGTGCTCCTGCTCCCAGCGCCAGTCGACGTCCTTCTGAAGGA